TAGTCCTGCTCCAAGTTGTCTATTCCAAAAATATATAATTCATTGTAAAAAAACTATATATATATATATATATATATATGAATGGGATACCAAACAATAAATTTGTTACATTTTATTAAATATTGATATGAGGTCAATGTGACACGTCACAGCCAAGTCAGCCCTCTTCCCTTAAAAAATTGTATGTTTTCCACCTATTACTATTTATTTTTTTCATTTTGAATAAAAAAATTGAAAAATGAAAAATAAATTTTGGGAAAATCCTGATAAATTAAAAAAATGAAAAAACTAAATGTATTTTGATTTTCTTTTTTTTGTTCAAAATTAAAAAATGAAAATTATAATAGGTGGAAATTATAAATTCTTTAAATTGAAAATTGCTGAGTTGGCAGTGACGTGGCGCATTAACCGTTGGCCAATTTCGTTATTTTGATGTATAGTTTGGGCCAGGATGTTATAGATTGAAAAGATTGGACATGATGTTTATTTTGGTCAAAGTTCAGGCCATACATATATATTAACCCATAAAAAAGCTTATATGTAAATTAAACTAGACTGCTAAATACTCATAATATCATACACAATCCAATATCGAAAACCGAAAATATTGATAGACATGGATATCTAAGCTGAGAGAAAGAAAATATTGATATTTGTTGACCAAATAATATGCCACTCTGTTGCACTCCTTAAACATAGTTGCCCTTTTAGTTTTATAAATCATAGTTATACTTATAAGAAAAAGAAATTGATCTTATTCACACCTAAATCACGAGACAAGCCAGGTTAAATATATTAATCTTTGTTTCCTTATCATGCATTGCATGTACACACTAATCAACAGAAACAGAAGAAAAATGGTCTACAAAGAGAGAGGTTTCAGTTGACAAGGCATATTCATAAATGTATCCCAACAAAGGAGGAATTGGGCAGGCCTTTAGGGGTACAAATCTTTATGGGAAGACCTATATATATATATATATATATATATATATATATGGTTCAGACAGACTACAATATTGTTGTGTATAAGACACTGTGTAGTAATAGGAAATGAAAAATGGTCAGATTGATGAAAATGAGGGAGAGAGGGAAATTATAAGAAATTAGACACAAGCTTGTGGTTAAGATACACTAGATCACTTGTCACACTTTGCTGTGACTATTTGACTCGTTCATTTTAGTATTCGGTTTTGTATATCCGCTTAATTTGATTTTATAGAGTTAAGATATTGAAATTGTGTTTTATGTGATAATTTAGCTAGGAAAATGGGAGAAAAAGTTGATTTTCGAGAATGAAATCTAATAAATGAGAAACTTTTATATGTCTATTATTCCTATTTTTCAAGAGCGTTATCACTTTATTTGCCAATTGATCCCACAAGGCCCTTTGCCTCAAATAGTATTGTAAAAAACTTTGTATGAGCTAAAAGAGTGCTTATTAAAGGTGTCTTTGAGGGAATTGATATCGTAGCTCAGCTGATTGTCGTTGTGATGTGGAGAATGCTATTGATAATTATCGAATAAACATATATATCACCAAATCTTCGTTAGGAAAAGTTTGTTGTTAAGGTTGTTGGGATGAATAGCTTTGAAAAACTATAATGAAATTCCTAATTAATTATCCAGTATTTTTCCTATAATACGAAATTAAGATGGATAATTAATAAAAGGAATATTATGGAGATAATTAGGAATAATTATCTTAATAGATTATATTTTAATTATGGGAGTAATTATCTCCCTAATTAAAATGTGACTTATTCCCAAAGAAAGAGGGAATATTCCGGGTTTTCTGCTCTTATAAATAGGAGACTACCAAGATCCTCTAAACACACCTCAGAAGAGCAGAAACACGAGAGAGAGTGAATTCATAGAGCTCCGGTTTTCGCACAAAACCGATGAGCAAGAAAATTAGAATGGCTGTTTTATCCTGGAGGCGACCGACTGATAGTCTGATGTGCGCAATACGAGGCAGTGCCGCGAACGTCTTAAAGAGAGCGACCTAGTCCGCGACTCAGGCAGATCGGTAACCCTAATTTTTCTGTTTGATTTCTGACAAAGGTTCTATGTCTCAAAATGGGAAAAATCATCTTTGGGTTGGAAAAATCTTGTCGTCCTTATTCTTGTTGTCGATGACCAATATCAACGAATGCTCCCAATTAGGAAAATTACTATACGTCAAGGGATGAGAAATGAGGCACTGGCCCAATTCTCTTACCGGTGAATGAAAAAAAAAAGGCGTTGGATCAGAAATAAGCACTCCTTGAAAGCAGAGAACACCATTAATATGCTAGTGACCTCCATTGTGAGGATTTCGTACGACATCGTTGTCAGAATTATATTGAATTATTCACATAAGATATCGGGAAGAAAAACTTGTGAAAACGAGAGAACGGAAGTGAGAAAGTGAGTGGTTAGCTTTAAAGAGCTCAGACACTATACTGAAAAAGTAATTGGAGATTGAATAGAATTTGTGAGGAATAACATTCTAATGTTCTAGTTAATATATATAAAACAAAACCACAGTTACCTAAACTCTCTAGCTGATTGGGCCTCTTTATGGGGTTTTTTACAACTAATGAATATTGGGAGGTTTGCATTAACGTGGAGCTTCAATTATTTACTTTTGATAATCTCTCAGCATTTCTTCCTTTATTACCTTGACAAACCTATTAAAAGCCTAAAATCACATCAATTAAATATAAGGTTCTCAATCCGGTTTAGCCTGTTGGCCCGATTGAGTTGGTGGGTTAATGATAAGAAATGCAGGTCAACCTGCAGGTTGACAATTTTGACTAGAGAGGTGGTGAATTTCGTTAAAATGAGGGAAATACTAGATGCGACTAAATTTAGGGCATATCTTGAACTATTTTTTTAAATTCCTAAAATAAAAATGTATTCATAAAATTCCTTTTTGTTTTACCTTTTCAAGAGTCTCCATCTACAAAAAAGTCACTAGAAAATCGATGGTTTCTTATCATAAATAAAATTAAAAGAACATAATCATACTCAAAAGAATTGTATCCAAACAGACAACCACCCACACAGTTGCTAATAAAAGCGCGACAAAGCGCGCATCACCGTCTAGTTTTAGTATATATAACCAGATTCAGGGGAGTAGGAGAGAGTAAGAGTGGGAAAGACTTAACTAACTAAATCACACTTAACCTACTAATCTATTATAATCTAGTATCTAACTTATCTAATTGTATCTATACGAATTTACTCATGTACAATGTGATACCTAAACTATTACATTTTATCAAACTCTCCTATCTCTAATAAGACACGCGACTATCTGTTGATCCTTTTTAATGATAACATAGGAGAGATAATAATGGGAACACAGAAAGCAATGTCTCTCTTAACCATTTGCTGGCTTCTCCTGCTTAATTAACTAATTTTTGGTCTACTACTTTGTTTGCTTATTCTGATTTGTTTATACATTCCCCCCATTTTCTTACCCCACAATTATACACTTAATATTAATATAATGAGCAAGCTTGGTCAGCAAAAATGCTGAGTTTGAATCTCTTATGAATACGGGTTGAACTTCCCGAAAAACTAAGTGATTCTAAATAAGAGAAAAATAATTTTGCATTCAGATTGTTGTTATTCTCATGTTTGATTGCATGGATGGCAATGGGTCGGGTCGGGTCGAGGCGGGGCAGATAGTGCATATTCGTTATCCTACCCAAAATAATTCGGGTTTTACCCATACTCATATCCACATGTGAAACAGTAGAAAATTAAAATCATGTCCATACACAGTCGGATTTCGGGTATTCACGGTTATCCATGGGTAATAATTTCTCTTCATAACTCCAACTAATATGTTACACATTCACAAGTATTCTCACATTACGTAAGAGAGGAAAATTACGGCAATAATTCACTAGAATGAAGAAAATCAATTACAATAACACAGTTTCATGAAAATCTTATATTTATATGCTAAATATAAAATATGTTTGAGAAAAATAATGATTATTCCTAGATAGAATACATATGCATGTGTATAATCTGGCGGGTTCGGGTTGGATAGTGAGAAACTCATGCCCATCCATTACCCACAATATTCAGGTTCGAGTTTTACCCGTCCCCATTAAATGTCCTTCGGGTTCGAGTTTTACCCTACCCGATTAAATCGAATTCGGGCGGATATCCACCGTTTCGGATATTTTTGTCATCCCTATTTCATACGTATTTCTACTTTAAAAGTTAAAGTAATGTCAAATACCTCAATAATATGATTTTTAAAAATGCGGAAACCAGAATTGAGACTTCTGTGAAAAGCTAATTTGTAAAAATAAATTTATTATTACCATTTTTAAATTTTTTTTAGAGCATATAGTATTTTTATTTTTTATAAATATAATTTTATTTGATTTAGATTATTTTAAATTATTTAATATTGAAAAAATCCAATTAGTTCATTTGACTATTTGTTATATTTATTTTTTTTCTTCATATTTTATATTAAAAATTATTTTAGGTATTTTAAATGACATATTATATTGGGCTAATACCACTACAACACCCAAACTATCCGAAAAATGCCACTTGTGTCCTATTGTTTTCAATATTCCATCTGTGAGCCTGAACTATTATATTTTGTGTCATTTGTATCCTACCAATTGTGTTGACCGTTAAAGATAACAGTTGACCAAACGGCGGTCAACTTAACATTGACTTTTGCTTACGTGGCAATGCCAAGTCATTGACGCCTCACATTTTTAATTCAAAATTAAATAAAATTTTGAAAATAAAAAATTGAGAAAACTTTAAATTCAAGAATATTATTTTAACCTAAAATTAATATTAGTTTTTAACCTAATCTCTTCTCTTCTCTCCGCCTCCGTCGGGACCTGTAGCTGGAGAAAGGAGCTGTGAATCCGTCACCAGATCCATCGCCCTTCCGTCACGAGTCAGTCTCCTTTCCTCCTCACTTCCATCGTCGCGGCAGCAACAACCGACCGAGCTTTGTTCCAAACCATTCACCCCATTCCAATCTCCAGCAAGAGCGAGGAAAACCTCCCGGCACAGCGGCTCCACCAATGACCACCTACGCAAGATCCACCGAGCGAACGATTGCTACTTCTTGGAACAGATCTGGAAGCTTCTCGCCGAAATCGAAGATCTCCACCTGCTAATGGACCCAGACGATTTCCTGAAACTGAAGAACCAGCTCTCGATTCGATCGGCGGCGGAGATGGAGCCATTCTACTTCCGTTCGAGGTCGCTGGTGGAGATCACGAGGTCGTGCAAGGAGCCGGAGATTTTGGGCGTGGAGGAACCCAGAAATCAACAAAATAGATCGACTAACCCAGAACACATCGACGAACAAAAACGAGGAACCCAGAGAACACTGAACCAGAAAGACGAACCCAGAACCCAGAACACTGAACAAGAACGACGAACCAGAATGACGAACAAGAACCACGAACCCAGAACGACATTAGCGAATTAGGTTTGGGAAGTGGCGGCACGGAATAGAAGAAGCAACCTCTCCCATCGAACTTCTTCGCTTTGATTCCGTCTCCGACTTCTCTTCGTATCCGAAGTACAATTCTTATGGATGTCGGCAAAGGAAGAGTAGGAGAAGGAGGAGATTTTGGGCCGGTGGATTCCAGATTTGCGATGTAGCAATGGATTGAGGGGGTGAATGGTGGAGATGAAACAGGAAGGGTGAACCGGGGAGAAAGGATTGAAGGGGTGAATGGTGGGAGATGAAACGTTTTTGTTTTTATTTTCATTGTTTTTTATTTTAATTTTTTTATTAAATAAATTAAAATTCCACATCATGTGCCACATCAATGTTGACTGGACTTTCTGTTAAAAACTAACGGTCAAAACGAGTCAACTTTAACAGAAAAATAGTTCAGGACGTGAATGGAATATTGGAAACAATAGGACACAAGTGACATTTTTCGGATAGTTCGGGTGTTGTAGTGGTATTAGCCCTATTATATTAAAAAATACCTCTGATAGTTCATCAATCAAACACTCAATTATTTTTTATAATTTTTTAAAATTTTTAAGCAGAAAGTTGCTTTTGCAAAAACTACAAAGGTCAACTAGCTAGCCCTAAAAGAAAAAATGTAACTAGGGAGAAAATAGGGTGAGAATGGAGACTTGCAATCACTTTTCATAATTCAACAAACTTAAATTGTGGAGAGGATCTGATACCATTTTGCGACTTTGTCATGCTTGCTCGTAATATGCATTCTAATTAACGAGTTTTGCTTTGTATTTGCTTGGAATTTATAATATAATTAAGTGCATAATAATTGGAGAAGAAATCATGGTCGATAAGACCTTGGTTTTCCAAGTTAGGAGGAACCAACAATTTGTAGGTGTGTGACAAGAATCTTTCCAAAAGAGGCATTAACGTCCGAAAACGTGCAAAAGATGGACGAAATTGGGATGGGCTGATTACCAATTAATTAATCGAATCCATTTCCTGATTAGCTGTTTAAACCCCCTTAAACAAGTATGCTTGGTCGTGTTATTAATATAGAACTAGCCTATAGCCCGGCCCGTTGGCCGCATTTGTTTAAGGAAATGGAGTTACAATATCTATAATGATAGTGTCGAGAAATGAGTCTTGTTTTATATTATCATAAGATTGTTGCAATTTTGCAATTCGTTGAAGACGAACATGTAATATGAATGAACATTCATAATAAGTTAGAAATACATTTGAAGATTAGCTAATCACAATAAATATACTTGCATGAAATTTTACTAATCACAAATCTAATCTAGTTGAGTATTACGACAAATAACATGCAAGTCCAAAATAAGAAAACTCAATACATTGTCTCATTGTTCATGACATGGTACTCAATTCAACAAAGGCAAAAATAATTTCACCAACACAAGTTCACAATAACCAAATGCATCGTTCCAGGGACCGACTGTGACCATGACTTCAAATGTCTGTTCTCCAAGCATGTTCAGAAGGGCCATATAGTCAGCATTGACAACATCTGCATGACTGAATACAGATTCAACAATCGTTCGTAACTGTGATGACGGGAAGACGATGTCAACACCAATGAATTCGTCCTCAATTGTGAGGTGGACGAAATGGATTCTGGATGCAGGGGACCAGGACGTCGTCAAATTCGTTACACGTCCGGATAACAAAAAAGAGGTGCCCTGATGTAAACACAGAAACGAATATTGTCAAAGCAAATCGATAAAATGCAGCATGCCACAAAAGGCGTACGATTAAAAAGAAATTTATTTGTTTAGTTACCTGATTTTCGACATCCACTTGCAACATAATGAGATCGATGGTGTCGGCACGCTCACAAATTTCAAGAGCATCATAATATTGCAGATTAGCAATAAAACCATGGGGAAGCCTATATATTGGACTGTAAGTTTTGGCATTAAGTAGTGAAAAAGAATCGAAATTACATGATGTAGTATTTGTTGGATGCATGAGCAGTACTTACTGATTGAATTGAGGCAGGCCCGCCATATTGAATGCAATTCGCACGGTCAATGGAACCGAAGTGTTTTGTATGGGAAGTAGTAAACGGAAATTGTAACATGAGAGAAAGTGGTATCTCTATTATATAAAGGAGAGAAAGTGATTCTACACACGTGATTTACTTGGCCGCATGCAGTGGAGTACGTGTGTGTGTGGAAAGTGGGATAGTGGGGGAGTGGAGAAGGATTTGTGGCCTCGTGGGGGAGTGGAGAAGGTTGGCCATTTAGAGTTCAAGAGGCGGGTGTGTCACGGAACTCACGACCCACCTTTTTTTTTTTTTTGAGGGGAACGACCCACCTTCTTAAAATCAAACATGCGCCTTCCTTTTATTTTGTTGCAATTAAAAATTCAAAAACAAAAGAAGGTAAGTACAGAATAAAATATAAAGAGAAGAAAAATCAGTTCACTTTTCCCAAAAAAGACCTAGCAGCCGCCCAAATTATGCTTTTTCAGTTTTAATAATTCTCACTTTATTCTTTTATCTCTAATAAGTGAAACAATAATTGTAAAAAAAATAATTGTTAAGTCTACCAAGTAAGTCAACACCGGTTTATGATCGGTTTTTAATATCGATTAACCACCGGTTATTTGATAAACCTTGAACCCTTTACTAATCCGGATCGATGTCCAGTTCCGTTTTAACAACATTGCTAATTGCGACTGTGTCAACAATTCTTGTCCAAAATTGCCTCTCAAAGTTGCTAATTATTATTTGATGCGCCAACCCGGCCGGCCCGGCCCACACCACCACTAATTAACATGAAATGAAAATCATAATGAATGTATTTAATAAAGAAATAATGGCTTGGAATGCGGCAGCCTTCACCTCATAGAAGATCCAAAAAAATCGGATACTGGGCAGTAGAGGAGGTGGGGGAGTGGGGGAGTGGAGAAGGATCCGCCCAAGGTAGTGTAGGTTGGCCTTTTTTTTATGGGAATAGGTTGGCCATTTAGTTTCAACAAATCCGGCTGGGCATTCCCTCTTTAACTATATTTTATTTAACTGAACCATGCTTGGGTTGTTTTGTGGGCTGGGTTGTGGTGTTAATTTAGTTTAGTTCAGTTGCGACTATGGAAGTTCTTCTTCGTATTGCAATATAACGGTCACACTCGCATACCCTTCGGTAGAGTAAATTGAGGTACAATTAAATATAAAGTAGTGTGCATAAATCACATTTCATATAATTGGCTGTTAAAAACAGGAAAATAATTTGGACAAATTGAGAACTCAAGATTCAAATTGTAACGACCCGATAAATTTGACAGTCTTAGTCCTCAAATCGAATAAAACATAATACATCATAAACCACTACTCAAAAATCTCAGTGAACACCATGTTCTGCATAGTCTTCACCGGTTTACCTTGAGAGTCACAGCTAAGAATCTTGAGTCCCCTTTCCGACGTAACTCGAGACATAGCAACATACAACTGTCCATGAGAAAATACTTGTCTTTGCAAGCAGATGCCAACGTGATTTAATGTTTGACCTTGACTCTTGTTAATTGTCATTGCATATGACAGTGCAATTGGATATTGCCTTCGAACCAGAGTGAAATTTAAGCTCTTGTAGTGGACCGATAGACTTAGGCGTGGTAAGAAAACTGTATCACCAACATGTGTCCCGGTCAAAATTTGGACCTCAATAAACCACTTACCTAATCTCTTAACGATCATCCGAGTTCCATTGCAAAGCCCAGTACTCTGATCCAGATTTCGAAGCAGAATAACAGGGCACCCCAACTTCAATTTCAACTCATGTTCCGGAAAATTCCCAATCTTTAAAGAGTTCAAGAATTCAACTGTGTAGTCCCCTTCTTCAACATGCTGATTCTTGGCATCAATCTCTAGCGAATCCGAACTAAAATAAGAAACTTCTTCACCAGGAAATAGACCCAATACATAATTGTTAATGGCCGCAACAGTGTCATTATGAGGGGCTAAGATAGCTCGCTCAACCAAATAGGTTGACATATTTTCAGTGGAGAGTAACTGACCATATATTTCAGCAACAATATCAGGAATTGGATCACTGCGACGGGGAACACAAATGTGTAGAGGTATCGGGATAATTGATTCTCCAAAAATAATACTATTTGTACCATCACCAATTTCCAAAAGCCATTTGCTAAAATTTGAGATTGCTAACCTGGCCGATGCTTCAGAATGAGGCAATTTTAATCGCATGTTCTCGGTTAGCTTCAATACTGTCATAGACCGCCACAAATAAGATCTCTTTATGGAAGAATTAACAATTTCAGTCCGTGTACCCTTCGTGATGATAGGTAACGTCTGTCGGAAATCACCTCCAAACACAATAGTCATACCTCCAAAAGGCTTCAACTCAGAATCAACATGCTTAACTCGGAAAATATCCCTCAATGTCCTATCTAGGGCCTCTATGTTGTGTTTATGAGCCATCGGTGCCTCATCCCAGATAATAAGTGAAGCATTGAGAATCAATTCAGCTACCTCAGAACCTTGCTCAATATTGCAAGTTGATTTTGTATCACAATCCAGGGGAATGTGAAATCTTGAGTGTGCAGTTCTTCCACCGACCATGAGTAGTGCAGCAATACCAGATGAAGCAACACATAATACTATCCTCTTCTCAAATCTTAATTGCTCACAAATTGCTCGCCACAGAAATGTCTTACCAGTACCCCCAAATCCATCCACAAAAAAGCATTTACCCTCATTGGTATAAACAGAATGTAATA